TATTAAACCTTATTTAATAATATACAAAGAACAGGGAGGTTTTCACACTAGCTCTTGAAGGGAGGAAAACTATGGATCAAATCTGCTTTTTTTAACAGTATTGTTGCACAACTGGACTAAACGTTGCCCAATACATTTTGGGTTCATTAAGGAGAAAGTTCAGCGTGGGACGAACTAGGGAGTTGCTCCCGTGCGGTATCTAAAGGGATATAGAGACAAAATCCGAGACGAATCCCTCCCAGAGCATCACCCTCTGAGGCGGCTCCGCTGATGGGGAAAATAAACCCAGCAGCCCACGAGGGGCACCGGCCCCGCTCCTCCCGCCTCAGCTCCGCTGGGAGCAGTTCCCGGGGCACAGGGAGCCGGCGGGGTTCCCGTGGAGCCAGAGGGGTTTCTGTGGAGCCAGAGGGGTTATGTGGAGCCGACGGTGTTTCTGTGGAGCCGGCGGTGTTTCTGTGGAGCCAGAGGGGTTCTGTGGAGCCGACGGTGTTCCCGTGGAGCCGGCGGGGTTCCCGTGGAGCCGGCGGGGTTCCCGTGGAGCCGGCGGTGTCTCTGTGGAGCCGGCGGGGTTTCTGTGGAGCCAGAGGGGTTCTGTAGAGCCGGCGGTGTTTCTGTGGAGCCGGCGGTGTTTCTGTGGAGCCAGAGGGGTTATGTGGAGCCGGCGGTGTTTCTGTGGAGCCGGCGGCGTTCCCGTGGAGTGGAAAGGCGGTGTGTCCCGCTGGCGGCACGGCCCGCCCCCCCTCGCTCCTCCCCGGCCGCGGCGCTCGCTGGGTGCTGTAGTTCCCGGCGGGCGGGCCATGGCTCCCCGTTCCTGAGTGCCCTTGGAGCGCAGTAAGTGATGCCGCCGCGCCGGGGCCGCGGCTGCCTCGGGGGCCGCCCTGCGCCCTCCCCGGGCCGCGCTGGGGGCGAGCGGGGCCGGCGGGGCCGGGGGGAGCCCGTGCTGGGACATGGGGGGCGGGACGGCGCTCACGGCGTGGCCATCACGGCATGGCCCTCACGGTGTCCCCTCGTGGCATCCCCTCACGGCATGGCCCCCACGGCATGGCCCCCACGGCATCCCCCTCACGGCATGGCCCTTACAGCATCCCCCTCACGGCATGGCCCTCTCGGCATCCCCCTCACGGCTTGGCCCTCATGGCATCCCCTCGTGGCATACCTGCACCTATCTATCTATCTATCTATCTATCTATCTATCTATCTATCTATCTATCTATCTATCTATCTATCTATCTATCTATCTATCTATCTATCTATCTGTTAATAAGTCGCTATATGCAAATATGCCGTTACATGTGTGTGTATACATATCTACATCGCTGTTATGTGTGTGTATATATACGTGGTCTGCACTGATGGCAGTGGAGGGGCGTGTGGACGCTTGGTTCCTAACGCCTTATTAATCCATGTATATACACATATATACATGAATATGCCTTTTTATGCGTGTATGTGCTGTTGTATGTAAATATATATAAAAATATATATGTATAAATATATATATATATACACACAAACCATGTGTCTGCACTGATGGCAGTGGAGGGGCGTGTGGACACATGGTTCCTAATGCCTTATTTATCCATATCTCTGTATGTGAATAAGCCATTATATGCATATATATGCTGTTATATGTGTGTGTGTGTGTATATCCATTATAGGTCTGCATATATATACATGTACATATATATTCATATATGCACACATACGTGTGTATATATGTACATACATATATATTCACCTATATATACATACATATATATATTTATATGCACACAAACTATGTGTCTTCACCAATGGCAGCTTATTAATAATATATATATTATATATATAATAGCTTATTCATATATATACTTCATATATATGAATGTGTATGCATGAATATATATGAATATGTATGTATTTATAGATATGTATATGTGAATATACTATTGTTTGCCTTTATGTGCCGTTATATGTGTATATATGCACATGTTTTTAATACACATGCACATACACATACATATTTTTATATATAAATTTGTATACATATATCTATATACACAAACTATGTGTCTCCACCCATGACAGTGGAGGGGCATGTGGAGATGTGCTCCTTAACAGCTTATTCATACATATATATATATATATATATATATACACATATGAATACACTGTAATATGTATATATATGCCATTATATGAATGTGTCTGTCTATCTTTCTATCTGTTTCTCTCCCCCCCATTATATATATACACAAACTTTGTGTCTCCTCAGGGTTACTCAACATGCAGCATTTTCAGTTCTACTGCACTTTTAAGTATTTAAAATGCAC